TTGGATTGCGCTTGGACCGTTAATACAACTGTGGCGTGACACACTAGACCAGTCATGGACGCCAGGCTCTACCACAGCAACCTCTGCATCTGTATCCACCGCCACCCTATTCACGTTCGCGTCTCTTCACTCTCACTCGTCGCCACTCGTCTGACATCGTTTTGCGATTTGCGCCATGGCGACTGCCAGAGTTGAGTCAATCACGAGGGATTTTGAAAGCGACAGGCCAACATGGCCATTGTCGTGCTACGGCCCTGCGAAGATGCAGCCCACACTCATCGGCAACCTCGACGAGTCTATGGAGGAGATGCGTGTGAAGGCTGCACAGGCAGCGAAGGCTGGAACCATACAGGACTACGTACGTCCCTATCTCTTCTCTTCGTCCGCGGATCCCGACTGGTCCGCCACATAGTTGAAGTATGAAGCGGACAAGATTGCTGCTGCACAAGCCCAGTTCGCCACAGCCCGCTCCAGCTTGCAAAGCCTGCACGCACATGCCGTCCAGAATCACGAAGCACAGTCTTCCGGCGGCACCCCCACACTATGGGTCCCAGGCTCGTCTGCCTTCGGGAGCTCAGGAACATCTGCGTTTGGAACCACCAGCACATCTGCGTTCGGTGCACCAGCAACCAACTCCGCGTTCGGCAAGCCGTCAGGATTTGGCGCCTTCGGCGGTGGGACGGGAAGCTCAGGCCCCTCCGCCTTTGGGTCAGGTCCAAACAACGGCACAACCTCCGCATTCGGATCGGCCTCGACGAGCGGTACCAGTTCCGCGTTCGGACAATCAGCGTTCGGGCAGTCAGGTTTTGGCCAGTCCGCCTTCGGGAAACCGGCCGGAGGCTCAGCGTTCGGGCAGCCTGCTTCAGGCACATCTGCGTTTGGGCAGCCCGCACAGGGCGCCACGACATCTGCGTTTGGTGGTCCGGCATCGGGCACTACGACATCTGCCTTTGGCACACCTGCACAGGGTGCCACGACGTCAGCGTTCGGCCAACCTACCCAGGGCACATCTGCGTTCGGCCAGCCAGCTGGGGGCCCCACCACCTCCGCATTCGGCCAGCCCGCCTCTGGATCGACAACATCTGCCTTCGGGCAACCCCTCTCTGCATCGACGACTTCAGCATTCGGTCAGCCCGCTGGAGGCGCAACAACATCTGCCTTTGGTCAGCCCGCGTCTGGAGCCACGACCTCTGCCTTCGGTCAACCTGCTTTTGGCCAGTCGGCCTTTGGAAAGCCAGCGGGTGGCACGTCTGCCTTCGGGCAGCCATCGGCGAGCACGTCGGCGTTCGGACAACCCGCGCAGGGGAGCACAACTTCTGCGTTTGGGCAGCCTGCGCAAGGGAGTACGACGTCTGCGTTCGGACAGCCGACGCAGGGCGCTGTACAGTCGGCGTTCGGGGCGACACAGACAACATCCGCCTTCGGTCAGTCTGCGTTCGGCCAGAGCTCGATGGGGAAGCCCGAAACAAACTCTGCGTTTGGCTCTGCTTCGGCGGGCCCTGGCGGCGGCGCCTTCTCTGCATTCGCAAACCCGTCGGCATCGACTTCAGGGAGCACGACCGGTGGGAGCGGTGGCGGCGGCGGGGCATTCTCCGCGTTTGCAGGCGGACAGCCAACAGCCTTCGGGCTCGCGTCGTCCAACCAGGCACCTGGCGGATCCGTCTTTGGCCAGTCAACCTTTGGCGGAGGCGCGAGCAGCAGCACGCCGTCAGCGTTTGGCAGCGGGGCGACGACTGCGCCAGTGCAGTCCGCGTTTGGTAGCTCCTCGAACCCGACATCTGCCTTTGGCCAGCCATCGTTCGGGCAGCCGTCTGGCACGTCCGCGTTCGGCGTACCATCGAGTGGTCCAGCACAGTCCGCGTTTGGCTCGGCGTCGTCGGCCACCCCCGCCACGTCGACACAACAACAGCCCACGTCTGTCTTTGCTTCGCTGACCAACCAGTCTTCGCAGTCGAACAGCCTCGGGCTCTCGGGCCTCTCGGCTTTCCCCTCTGCCATGTCCACGACGACCTCCAGCTCTGGGCCGCCCGCTGGCTTCTTTGGCTCGCAGAATCAGAACACGCCGAGCTCAAAGTCGTCGAAGCCTGACTTTGCTGCGGCTCGGAAGAAGCAGTTCTACCGGCCGGGCGCGACCAAGTACGACGATCTCCTACCGCCCAACTACGTGGAATTGGTGCCCAAGGCGGCACTGGAGGCATTCAGGAGCGAGAGCGAGAAGTTCGACTGGAAGAACATCCCGGAGTGGGTCCCGCCAAAGGAGCTGCGGTAGCGACCTTCACCCTTGTTTTGTTGGATCTCCGGAATGCCAGGATGCTTGGGCGCATGGGCGAGGATGAGTCCGTGTGCACGACAGATGCAGGCGGTGATATTCCTGGACTCCTCTCACACATCACGCTATCCTCCGTGACGCCACGCTATGCCCGACGACGACTATCACAGATTGCAGACTTGTATTGTATGTCACTATGTACCCGCTACCATATCGTTATTCATTTGCAGTGCACCCTTCACATTGCAGTGACGACCATCCACGGCAGGATCTCGTGTTGACGCTGTCAATTCCCCTTGCTTTTGGGAATGATCTCAATGCTTCACGTTCGACATTTGGCAGCACCGCTGACGGGCACGCCTCACCGTATCAGGCGATGGAGATGGCCCATGGCGACCGCACGTCGACGCGCAGTGGCATGATGCATGTCACACCGAATCGGGTCATGTCACGGCGGCTCGTTGGGGTTAACTATGTCCTCGCCCGGGCATGTCGGGTTCAGCTGCGCGGCGACCGAAGAGGGTACGCATGCGCAGGGAGGGCGCCGTCGATTTATGAAGCCACTCGTCGACATTACATTGTGCGACGAGGATCATCCGCGGTGCGAGATGACATTGACAGGTCGCGCATGAGTGGTATACAAAACGCGTCAAACTGCGCGCGATGTCCGCCGACTGGTTCTGAGAACGTGCCAGATCTTCGCCTCGTGTAGTCGGCCGCCTGGTGCTACCGACCCGAGCATGTCATCGACAGAATTAAGCGCAAGTCCGGAGTGCTCATTTCCGAGGGACGTCCTGCCACTGCGCCAAGGAGCGGGACTCCTGGTTGGTGTCGGCGGCCTGTGGAAACGACCACCGAAAGGCTGGTGCAAGCCAATTGATAGACCGTGCAGAAGGTCATGACTTCTTCCGATACATAGTAGTGTATGACCCAGCATGTGTCGAAATTCAACCTTCGTCGCCTTGTACTACCATAGCGTGCCGTAGTGACACCCGTTGCGCGGCGAATATGCTGGCATACATGGTAGCATGATGTATGCTCTCCTAGGGCAGCACATGCCGGATGATATGAGCGGCGATAGTACTCACCGATAGGTTCACCGATCTTCCGCGTTCGTGTCAGGCGCGTCATGTTCGTACGAGTACAACGCAAGCTGTCTTGTCAATCATCATAAGAGACGACGTGGTGTGAGCGCAACGGTAGCAGAATTACTCCGGTGGAACGTGAGCCCATGGCAGCGGCTTCGACAAATCGATGTTTCCGCCGCTGATAATTATTCCAATAGGACCTTGGATTCCCAGCTCCTGGAACTGCTTGCTGCGAACAGCCGCAAAGGCAGTTGCACCGCTTGGCTCGACGACAATCTTCATGCGCTCCCACATGAGACGCATGGCCTCGACGATCTCCTGTCGGTAGGTCAGACAACTATAGCACAATGCAGACCCTGAGGGCTCAGGCTTTAGGCCGATAAATATACCACGCACCTCGTCTGTCACTGTGATGACCTTCTCGACCTTCTCCTGTATGATAGGGAAATTGAGAACCCCGACGGGAGTCCTCAATCCATCCGCAATCGTATGAGCATCCACGTCCGGTCGTCTCTTGCCCTCTTCAAGGCCTCGCGCACAGTCATCCGCGCCCGCCGGTTCCGCTCCAAAGATGCGGATTCCTGTCCCGTCCGCAGCGAGCGCCGTCCCAGCGAGGAGGCCACCGCCTCCGACGGGCGCAACAACAGCGGCGAGTTTCTCCGGGACCTGCTCCACGAGCTCGAGCAATGCGGTCCCCTGGCCCAATATCGTATTCACCGCGTCGTAGGGAGGGATGAACGTCGCGCCGGTCTGCGCCTGCACCGCTGCGAGCGTCGCCGCCCGTGCGGGAGCGTTGGGCTCGCAGAACGTGATCGAGGCCCCGTACGAGCGCACTGCATCGACTTTGGGCTGCGCGGAGTTGTTGGGCTGCGAAACCGAGGAAAGGGGATGAGTCGATCTAACTTGATGTGTGGATAGTTCCTCAATGGTATACGGGCGCGCACCATAACCACATAGCATTTGACTCCGCGCTGCTGGGCGGCGAGGGTCAAGGCTCCGGCGTGATTCCCTGCCGGGTGTCTCAGGTGAGTATTGGTCCTCCGCCGGTGAGTACGAGGGAATTGAAGTTGGCACCTGAACTATGTGTGCATACGCCCTTTGCGAGTTCGTGTGGCGTCAAGCAAGACAGACTGTAGCTGGCCCCCCGGAACTTGAACGCACCGCCCTTCTGGAAGTTCTCGGCTTTGAAAAAGAGGCGGTTCTTCCCGGGGAGAGACCCAGAAAGCGAAGAAGACGTGAGAGCGGGTGTGCAATGTATCAGGTGTGATATCGTCTTCTTCGCTGCCAGTACGGAACTGCGAGTAAGAGGGAGCGGTTGTGCCGGATCCGTCGCTTCTGAAAGCATCCTGCCCGTGAGCGAACCAATTACGATGGGAAGGTGCTCAGGTTCACTCAGCCTGGAGTGCAGAAAAGTGTCAGCGCAGGTGGTACCGGTGGTTACCACGGTCACGGCATGTTTAGGAACACAGTAGTGCTTCTAAGATTGTGCAAAAATGCGAAGGAGCAAGCTGAAGATTCAACTCAGATTTGGGCTGAAAAGGATGCACTACAACTACATACTGTCTGTTCTCAAGGTTGAACTAAAGGAAGACGTTGGTCGTGAGGTAAAAGCAAAAGGCAATACTATTACCATGTGGACCTACTTCCCGCTAGCCGATTTGAACGACTGACCTCGTCATTGCCTGCCGAAGGTACTAGTGACGCGCTCTACCAACTGAGCTAAGCGGGAGTTATGAGGGGGTTTCGTATATGCATTATTAGCTATACCCTTGCGATTCGGCACTCAGAAGGAGCCTGCAGCTCTGCTGCGCATGGATCTTGTTCGTAGCACTGATCAATGTCAGACATCCCTCAGACCGATGTCTCTCGCCCGTCTGCGCTCCCCACCGCTACACTTCTGCGACGCCAAGTTCAGCCCTCAATCGACCAAAATTCGAACGAGTACCTCGACGCGATCGAGGAGGAATGGAACGGACGTGTGGATGTCGAGATTGAGACACTTGTAGACGGCATGGTCGACATCGTCGGGCTCGCGGCGGTGCGTATCTGACGCGTCTTTCGGCCCTATGGCGACTTACCGAGTCGGCAGATTGGTGACAAGGACAAGTTCCGCGTCGCACAGGAGGCGTTCCAGGCGCAGTGCCGCGCGGAGTCCATGGTGAGTCTGCCCGTCCCTCGTCACCGCCCCCGCTGATCCCCTCAACATTGTCTTGGACGCGTAGATACGCGCTGCCAACTCGCTTCTGTCGACCATCCACTCGATGAAGCTGCTCTTGCTGCTGTCTGACGAAGCGCAGATCGCGAAACGGCGCGACGCTGAGCTCCGGAGCGCGCAGGTGGAGAAAGTCGATGCCCAGAGGAAGGTCGCAGAGCTCTTGGACGATCTCCTGCTGTCCAGTAAGACGGAGCGTCACCACGCTTGAACACTAATGCTTCAACCCTCTCGGAGCCGTTGGCGCGATGCTGACTGGCTACGACGCATCTCATCGCGCCCACTCCCTGCGCCAAGAGCTATGGCTATTTCGACAAGATTTGGAGCACTGCATCCAAACCCGCGCTACCCCCGTGAATACCTTTCTGGCCTCAGGGTGTCTCACCTGTATCACTCTGCTGCATCGCAGTGGCGCCTCCGGATTCCTGTGACTCCCTAACAGAGACAGACGCGAACGCGGTGATTCCCAACTTCTGCACCGAGATCTGGCGACTCGAGGTCGATTGTTAATCAACCGCAATCAACATTAGCCCCGCGACGGAACAGTGAAGGCGAGGAGGCGGACAGGGTCGCGTAACGAACGGGTCATTGAACACGCTCGCGGCGGGAGCAGAGAAGACCGCCTTGATTGAAGGTGAGTATGCTCGGACACCGCCACCACCTGCAAGAAACCTTTTTGTCGAACCTTCCCGGCCCCCGTCGCCGCAATGTTGCGAATCTGTCAATGCGCGTGTTCCTGGCCGGTTCTCGCCTTGTACTTTGACACCAGAAGCATCCGGGGGGGCCTATCCCGTGTCGGTGGCAGGCTTGCCTGATGCACGGCTGTGAGTGGATCACATGGAGACGTGCCGAGGTGGAACTTGAACAGGCTCAGGTCTGCGGTCTGCAAGCTGTTCGTTGATGGTCCGCCTGCAATTGACAGACATGCATATGCATAGGTGCAGTGCGCATGTGCACACGTATCCAGGTCTGGTCCGGGTTCCGCCCGAGTCCGAAAAGATCGCCCCAGCGAGCCTATAGGTTGCGTGGACGTCAGTGTCGTAGATGTCGATGGCACATTTGCGCAGCACAGGTACCGGTGACGGCCAGCCAACTATGAATATCCCCCACGCGAGATAGTGCGTCGTCATTTATCACTCCTGCCTGAACCTGCAAACGTGACCGTACCTTGGACTGTTGACAGGTCTTCTGCGTGCGGGACGTCTGAGAATCCGCACGCCGCCCCGCGAAGCATCCAAACATAGCGTGGATGACGCCCCTGGCTTCTTCGGACCGGCACGGACACCTGCACGGACGTCGCTGGCAGCCCAGTGTATCCCCCACCTGGCTCCCGATTACACATACCAGGATCGACGTGTGGTAAGCAGCAGTCTAGCTATTGGGTGTCCGACTAGCCTCCAAGCGAGCTGGGAAACCGTCTATGTGACATTCCTAGCACCTCGGCCGTCCTACTTCCGTCGTCCATCCATCCAAGGCAGACTTCAATTCTCGCCGCTTCGGGCGCTGTCCTCGGCCGAGCCGTCATGCAAGACGAGTCCAGTCTTCATATCGGCCGTGATGGCGTGGCATGGGTCTGCGCATGTGGTCGGTATGAAATGGATCCTGCCACATTTAAGCGCAGCAGATGCCTAGGACCTGCGCCTTACCCTTGTGTCCGTTATGGGGGATGCAGCGAAGTCGGCACCGAGCGGTGACCGCAGTGCAATATCTCCATGTGGGCTCAGTTGCGCACGATGCGCACCCGTACGTCAGGTTTCGTTCGTATCGTTGCTTCACGGTGTCATCTGCAAGGTTCGCGACTTCTCCCGCCGGAAGCTCGTTGGACGGGTTCCTCGCTGTTGCTCGTCCTATGGGCTTCCTGAGAAAGCGTTACATCAGCGCTGGCCGCGAGGCATGGCTGTGTGGGGAGAGTTGCCTCGCTGTCCGACCGGGACGTCTTTGGCTTCGCGAGGGCCCGCGCTAACTGCGAATGTTGCAAATGCCACCGGGAACTTTGTAACGTGAGTCGACGTCGACGCTAGACGAGCTTTGGCGTAAGCTGAGGATGACACAGCTTCGGATTTGTGAGCGGAGGGGCGGGATGACTCGTCGCTCGAGTCGCCCGATGGCTGGTGTGGTCTGTCACGCTGGCCGAAGGAACTCGCGTTCGCCTGTGATGCGGCGCGATACTTGGCCGTGTTACCGAACGAGTATCCCATCCCTGATGTGCGCAATCTGCTGGTGCGTGACGCGAATTCTGTGTTCGTGACACGATGTCGAGTACGCCGTCGGCGTCGGACGTGGCTTGAGGAAATCGTGCCTCGAGGATGCTGGATCTTGTCTGAGCACTGCCGCTCCGTGAGATATCGGGCGCGTCAATCTGTGCGCGGGTGTGTTTCGGGATGGTACAGCTGGATCTCGCGCGATCTTGGACTCCCGCGCGGGCAGCAGCTCTGGCATCATGCGAGGGCTGTCCCGGTCCGCGTATGCTCCCAAGTCCGCGCAAACACACTTTTTTGCAAACTAACCCGCCCCCGACACAGACTTCGGAGCACAACCGTCACACCTCGCCGGGTCTGTGCCCGCAGAACTACTTATACCCTCCCCGACCGCCAGCCACCTCCACCCACTCTCTCATCCACAGTCAAGGTTCTCGCCCTCCTCGTGTCTCCTTCTCTCTCCATCCCCCTGACAACTCACGCGCACTACTCGAACACAGCCATGGGCGGCTTCCACCAGAAAGTTTGGCTTATTACAGGTGCGTCGATCTTTCGTGGCCGTCGCGTTCCCGACATGGCAACTCACTCGGCCTTCTTCTTCTTTGCACCCCTACAGGCACCTCATCAGGCTTCGGCAAGCGTCTCGTAGCCTCTGTACTATCACGAGGCGACTGCGTCATCGCAACAGCCCGCAACCTCGAGAAGCTCCGCGCAGTCTTCCCCGCACCCGAACGCTCCCGCCTCCACCTCCTCCAGCTCGACATCTCCGACTCGGCCGAGCTCGTGCAGCAGCGCGTCAAGGAGGCCCTCGCCGTCTGGGGCCGCATAGACGTCGTCGTCAACAACGCCGGCTACGGCGTCAAGGCCGTCCTCGAGGAGGGAGGCGCCCTCGCCGCGCTCACACAGTTTCAGACGAACCTCTTCGGCGTCCTGAACGTCACAAACGCCGTGCTGCCACACATGCGGGAACGCCGCTCCGGCACGGTCGTCATTCTAGGATCCCGATCCGCGTGGCGCGCAGAGGTCTCGGTGCGTGCTTCTGTTCCGACTTTCGTTCGTAAACCCGGTCACTTATGCTCGTACTCTAATTACAGCCCGCCGGTCTCTACGCTGCGTCGAAAGCCGCCGTACACGCTGTCGGCGAGACATACGCGAGCGAGCTCCGGCCATTCGGTATCCGCGTACTTATCGTCGCCCCGGGTGCGTTCCGCACTGAGGGTGTGCACGCATACCCGGCCACGATCAACACCCACGTACCCGCATACGACGACATGCGGAACGCGGGGATGGCACGCTTCGCTGGAATCGCCGGCCACGAAAAGGGCGACCCCGCAAAGGCCATGGAGCTCGTCGTCGACGTCGTCAAGGGCGAGGGCCGTGCCGCGGGCCGCGAATGGCCGCTCTGGCTCGTACTTGGACGCGACGCGTACGTCGACGTCCGTGCGAAGACGCAGAAGCTGCTCGCGACGATGGACGCGTGGGAGGACGTCGCGACAGATCTGGAGTTTGACTGCGACCAGTGAGCGGTGACAGTGCCCCGCGTGGGGCGCCCGCTGCCCGGCTCGGAACTGGGACTGCGTGTCGCCCTGGACTGCGGCGTGTCTGAGACACCTCGCACAGTGCTACGGGGAAGGGTCACCGACTCCGTGCACATGGACTAGGACCCCCGGGTCTGGACGTTGAATCGGACGACCTCGACCGAGTATTTATCCATAACTATGCTTCGCTCGCATCATTGCCATCCTCGCTCCACGTACATATAGCACACATCGCTTCATTGCCCCCATATGCTCATATGTCTCGTCTCGTCTCATCCATCCCATCCCCCCTCTCACCACATGCATCTCCCCTCATCCTGCATCATGCGTCTCGTCTCATTCGGACCTTCCTATCGTACTATTATAGAGTCCTAATCACTGCGCACTGGACATTCTGACTCACCTGCATCCGGATATCCACCCACCTGTAGCCTTTACCACATCCCGCTCTCATGGCCCGTCTCATCTGTCTACATACTACCGTACTACACATACTACTACTGGTTGCGTCCGCAACTCTGTGCTATAACAATATGACATCCGGTCCTCGTATGATGTCCCAATACACACGGCGTATCGATGTTATGCTATGCTATGTGGATACTTATCGCCCATCTGCAGGATTAGAGTGACATTTTGTCGAGACTTATTCGCCCGGTACACTTCCGAGTCTCCCTCTTCATTGGGCTCAGAAGTTGGACGCTGACCAGTAACAGGCTCAGCGACCATGGACTGAGAACACGCGCGATGTCACAATCACATGGCCGTGACCGACTCGCGA